ATTTGCGGTATTGGAAGGGAAACTGCCGGTCTTCATCCTAAAAAACAAACAAGAGTTGAGAGAGCCCTCAAATTGGGAAAAAAAGGGACGAAAGACAGAAACTTTTCCACCCAATCACTATTTAATAATTGATGCTACAAAAGTCAATACAATGCATCCATTTTTCAACTCTTGGATTGTGGAACCTAGTCAAGTCAGCTTCCTAGACTCCAAGAAATTTTTATTCTTGGGCTCGCAGGAGGAGATGTATGCAAGAAAACTGGCGAAGTCAGTGTCCATGTACCGCTTTGGATTCACATTGTCATCTATAAGCTCCAGCGAGGGCCGGACCGTGCACTTGTAAGGCAAACTGTGCAAGGACGCGACTGATATTCTGGATTTAGTTGAATTCACTGTTACTCTATGTAAAACACTCTTGTACCTTCCGTTGCTGAATATCTGCCACATATCATACAACAAAGAATATTCAGATGATTGTATTAATTAGTATAGCAAAATTAATCTTCACATGATGCAATTAATCCCAAAGTCTTTTCTTTAGGTGGAAGAATAGACCCTAATTAATGAGATCGAGGACTAACAAATGAAATGTCATTGATAATGCAATGTTGACCCTTACCTCAAGGTGATCGCCCACATTGACGATGAGGGCATCGGGGATCGGCTGGACAGTGTGCCATTCATCCTTGTGCTGAATCTGAAGGCCCTCGACCTGATCTTGGAGGAGGAGAGTGAGGAATCCGTAGTCGGAATGAGGCGGCATTCCGAGTGTGAGGTCTGGCTCAGGGCATTGCGGGTAACAGTTCACCACCATGAGCTGGCTTCCATCTTCGAGCTCGCACATGATTTGGTCCCTCATCAGCCTCACGGCTAGGCTCTCCAAGACGGCCTCCGTTAGCTTTAGAAACAAGTGCTTTGCCTCTTTTGAGTAGGTAACCGCCAACTTACTTTTTAATTCATGATTTTGAGCGTTAGAATAATGTAGTCTTGGTAGGGAAGTAGAAGCTAGCAATAGCAATGGACCCTCACCAACTAAGATATCTTACAGAGTCAAAGACTCGCTTTATTGATGACATTATGAACAGAATCATGTGATGACAGTGCAAAATTGGGGTCGAACTACTGTACTTTTTGTAGGCTCAATGAGAGTTCCATGGTTTCTCAATACATGAGAGGTTTGATCTAGTAAAATGAGTTTGCATTGTAAGTTCTCAGCAATAATTTTTTTAATAGGGATTGTGCTCATATAAATGCCTAAAATATGAAAATGTGTATTTCAAATACAAGCATATAATTATTAGAAACAGTAAGTTTAACTTTTTTTTTTCTTGCAAATACTCTTGATCGAGATCAAGACATGAATCCACTGCCAGTTTAATACATAAAAGTTTGGAAGATAACGTCGTAATACCTCATGTCGGTAGGAGAAGAAGGCCAATGTGTAAGGATATCCGAGGGAGGGTGGCATGTGAGCTTCAAGAAGTCTCTCCAGCAAAACACTTTGTCCTTGTTCTGGTTGAAGCTTGTCCCGTAACGCACTGGCGCAAACATATTGGAGGACATGTACCTTGCCCTTTCCTCATACGGGAGCTCGAAAAACCTCTTGCTCACTTCAACCATGCTGCTTAGTACTTCGCTAGGAATACTGTGATTCACCAGCTGCATGCAACCATATAGACCACCAAAATTCATCGATCGGCCTTTGAGCAATTTCAAGAAAAGGTATGGATTCAGAAGCCAATCACAGTTTAGGAGGAGCCAACCCACCTGAAAAATCCCGTAATGTTCACACGCGTTGGCCAGCGACTTGAGGGCTTCAGGCCTGTTCGGGCCCTGTAGTTCGGCGAAATCAATGACAGGCAAACTGACGAGCTTGGCTTTGCTTGATTTCGGTTGGTCATTGACTGGTCGTTCTTGAACTGGCCACACATACTTGTTTGGTACTCTTGAAATGCCATCTGCACATAGCTGTTTTACTCCTTTCTGGTACTGACGCTCTGCATCCTTCAATTCCTCTTCAAGTCTCATTGCAATGGAAGGAGACATTAACTCTATGACCTCACTTCGAAGCTGTGACCCTGCCACACACAATGTTTAGTCAGATACATGACGGTAAGTCTTGCCATTCACAGTGCGGTGGTGCGTTTAAGATGAGCAAAAGTCTATTATGTCCCAAGAATTGTGGCACAAACCCAGCTCATGCAAGACAGGACCTCACGTGTGTCCACCTAATCTATCACTGCTAATATCACCGTATCTGTGTCTCCGCACAATCAAAAAGCGCCTCTTGGGTGCACCCAATCTTAAAACTTTAATTAGGAGAGCACTCATCAGAATCCATGCATGCATTTGATCGCCACTTAAGAGTTCAATTTGGGAGAGAGAGAGAGAGAGAGAGAGAGAGAGAGATGTTTCAGGAAGCACTTTAATACCTGGACTAACCTTGTCGTCGGGCAGGAGTAAGATATGGGACAAGGAATTAAAATACTGGAACGATGCGAGGAAATTGAGAAGAGATGTTGGTGTATTTATAGATGGAGTCCACGCGAAACCCACAGATGGGACGAATTTAAAAATAGGATGACCCGTGTATGCATGGACCAACTCGAGAGTCGTATCCCTTCACCATAAACCGTTGAACAAGATCTGGTCATAACACGAGCGAGGAGGGACAAGAAAAGAGGAGACGAGACCCAGCTCCAAAAATTCCATGCCATACAGCCACCGACACTTCGACCCCACTTCTCTTGTCCTCTTTCTCGACTTATTACGTACCCTTTACATTATCACCTCTCCCCCAGTTTTTTTCGTTCTCTTTCTCTAGACTTTCGTGTACCCTTTACAGAACAACCTCTCTCTCTCTCTCTCTCTCTCTCTCTCTCTCTCTCTCTCTCTCTCTCTCATTCATCTAGGCATGCCGCTCATATCGGCCGTGCACTTCATTTGTAGTTCCTCTTTCTTATCCGACTCAATTAGAAGATGCAATGTGAGTTTATGGTTCCATCCAAATTTCCAATCCAATGAAAACTTCGTTCATTTAGTGGACTACGGTAATTTCAAATGTCGAAATCATAAATGCTTTTCGTACGGTCCAGATTTTTTACCCTTTCTATCCTTTCTTTTTCTTCCATTTTCCTCTTTTGCCCTATTTCCCTTTCTTCCTTCCCCAAGACAAGACACCTGTGCTCGAGAAACCCATTGGAGCTCCTCCGCCATCGCGGCCAGCCTCCGTTCGAGCTGCTTGACACAACTGCCCGTGCCTTCTCATCCCCTTAAGTTGCGTTTAATTGTTTGAATTTATAGGCTAGATATAATTAGATATGATAGGATATGAAATTTATGAATTTTGCTATATCTTATATATAGTTTGATGAATTGCAATAATAAAAGTGAATATTTTCATATCTAATATTGTCCATCGTTTGGTATAAACGGCATATTAGTGTAAGTGAACTTGAAAATGCACAAATAGATATGGTTAAAATATGTTATGAGTCACAGCTAAAGAAACCTCAAATGCACGAACGAAGATAATCTCCATCAATAAATCCATGATTATTGTATGATCCAAATATTTAATAGCAAAGGAGCAGCATTCTAGAGCCACAAGTTCAGTTATGACAAAAAAATGTAAACAGGTTATAGCAACATTGACGAGATAGATCGGCTAGCGAATACCAAATCTAATAAGAGAGAGAAAACATGATTATTTAACCTTCACGATTCTGAAAAGTATAGTGTTTCGTCTCTCTCGAAACTTTCGTGAAACTCCGACATGAACCATAGAGCTACGGAGAAGGAGTTTCAACTTTTTTGTTGTTTTTGTGGACTTTTGACATGAACTAGAGAGTTAAAAAAGAGAAGGGGCTTCGGCTCGCTCACCATTTTCGTGAAGTTTTGATGTGAACCATAGAACTATGGAAAAGTACTGAAGTTTTAAGATAAACCAAAGATACAAAGGAAGGAGACATAGAGGGTAGGTTTTTTTAGAAATCTCATTGCCCCTTAATTTTCGAGAATTAAAAAGATCCTTTCAAAGTTTGAATTTATTCATTTGAAACTTGTGCTCTTCTACTTCAATTTATTTACTTATATTTATTATTTTTCCCTCTTTTTTTCTTTTTTATTCCCTTCCGTCATTCCTTAACAAAAATTTTATTAAATTATAAACTATACTAATATACCTAAAATATCCAATTAACATAGATGCCTAACATATATATATATACATAATATATATTGTAGAATAGAAAGAAATTCAAATATGTAAATTAAAATAGGACTAAATAAAAAAAATTATGTAATTTTTTTCTTTTTATTATTTTGAATTGATTAACATTAGAATTCAAATAGTAATTATATCATATTAATTTAAGAAGGTTGATATTTAAGAAAAATAGCTTTTATACAGTGGATATAAGAAATCATATCCACATTTATCTCATCACCCTCGTGGGATATTTTTATCCGGGCTATATCCCTCGTATGTCCGACCTTATCTTGTCTTAAGCAGGCACCAGACACGGGATATGATAAAATCTTTTATCCTAACTACTAAACATAGCTTTAATATACATGAATTAGGTACAAGGGACAGATTTGATTTCTCACAGCATCAAGCATAAAAATGCCATGTTTGAGCACTCGTCCAAGTTTGTCTCTGTATTTTACATTGTTCGTGAGATTAATTGCTTTAACGAGGCTTAGAGTTTACCTGACTTGTGGTATTCATTGTCATTATTGCTTGAATTCTTGTGGTCTTGAATTTCAGTATTGTTGGGAGCTTTTATTGGACGCCCCCAGCAAACATTAATCCCACTCTACACGAACCGGGAGTATCTAATAAACATCCCTTATTGGGAACACTCAAGGAATTAAATCCTAAACCATGCCAATTTGAAGGAGTGCATCCTTAAGATCGTGCGAAGGTGTGGACTAGTTGAAGTGCGTGAAAATTGATCCCGATACTATTTCACTATTAAGCTAAAAAAAAAATCAAATGGGGGGAACTTTAGTAAATTTCACACGTGCATTTTGACAAGGTCAAATGATAAAAGGGGATTTACCTAGCTAGTTACTACTTTACGTGAACAGATACAGCACAAGGATTCCTCGTCAAGACAGCGCGCGTTCAAGAATTCACGCTGAGCTGTTGACTGCTTTCGTCGTATATCGTAAGTCATATCAATAAACAATGAGCGAAAAGTGGGGGCGGTGGCTGATTAGGCGCCTTACTGGACCTTGGAATTTGGAAGAAGCTCCACGTATGAAGTCATACCTTGCCTGTATAAGCCGAGACCTGGTCGAGATAATGGACTGTTGACACCCCTCTGGAGTCGGTCAGCCATGGGGATCATTTTGACTTGCAAACGTCGGTTTTGTGCCCAACTCAATCTTCAAAGACTCGTTAGGATTTTCAACTCTGGTTGGACCTGCAATTTACGATCACAAATTAGGGCGTCTAGAATTTTTACCTAGAGTGGTCCTCCGAAGCTTAGGGTCAGTTTCGTAATATTTCCGTTCTCGGGAACAATTTCTGTTCAGAAATAGTTTTTTTTATTTCTATTCCCTGAACGAATTTTTTAGCAGAAGAACATGTCTAGTAACTACACAAAATTTATATTCCCAGAATAGAAAAAGAATAGAAATGCGTTTTGTACGACCTTAAAAATTTCTACTCCCAATTTTTTCATTTAATTATAAAAATGTCAATGAAAACTTAACAATTCATGTTTGGATAAAACTGGACTAGAAATAAAATCAGAATATATTATGATATATAATTGGATGACCTTAATACAATCACAAAGAAAATTACTCCTTGTAGATAAAGAAAATATCATGTGGTGTCGAGGAAATTGCAATTTAGGGTTTAGGGATTGAGAGTTTGGGGTTTAGGTTTTAGGATTTTAGGATTTAGGTCTTAGGGTTTGGGGTTTATGGTTTAATGTTTCGGGTTTAGGGTTTTGAGGTTTAGGGTTAGGGTTTAGGGATTCAGGTTTTGGGGTTTGGGTTTAGGGATTCAGTTTTTGGGGTTTGGGATATAGGGTTTAGGGTTTGGGGTTTGGGATTTTGTGGTTTGGGATTTTGTAATTTAGGATTTTAGGGTTTGGGTTTTGGGGTTTTAGGGTTTCGGGTTGTGGGTTTAGGGTTTTAGTGTTTGGGTATTGAGGTTTAGGGTTTAAGGTTTGGGGTTTTGGGGTTTAGGATTTTAGGGTTTCGGGTTTGGGTTTTGGGGTTTCGGGTTTCGGGTTGTGGGTTTGAGGTTTTAGTGTTTTAGGGTTTGGGTAATGAGGCTTACGGTTTAAGGTTTGGGGTTTTGGAGTTTAGGATTTTAGGTTTTAAGGTTTAGGCATCTTGTTTTCCCATTGTTTCTCTTTTTGTTCTTGGGAACAAAAAAGTAAATTTTTTGTACTTCTTATTTTTATTCCATATTTATTCCTCGGCCACTTTTTTATTCCAGGGAATAAAAAAATTAATTGACATTATTTCTATTTATTTTTTAGTCTGGGGAATAAAAGAACAGAAAATAGAAAAATTGAAACGTTATCAAACAGACCATTAAAGTAGCAAAAGAGACTGTATGTGTGTATGCAATAAAGTTGGGAAGAAACTTACCTGAGTTGTTAACCCTTGTATTTATAGGCAGAAGTGATCCAAGCCGTTAGTTGATAGGCAGTGCTCATAGCATGACAAATGGCCAAATGTCTTGATAAGTGACTGATTATCATGACAAATGGCAATGCTCTCGAAATATGGCCAAATCGTCCTCACGGGCAAATGAGTACTGAGTTTAGTAGTTCCACCACTGATCCTCTCAAAGGGATGGACTTTTAAGTGGAGATTATGTCAGAAGACCACCCGACCACCCGTTGGTAACCGATGATTTAATATGTGACATATTTTTCACTGGTTAGAAAAATTCCTCGTCTGGTCCAAATCGACATGTGATTAGTCAGTCAAATCTCATCCCCCTCCTTAAGGGGAGATTATGTCAGGAGACCAACTGTCGGTAATCGATGGTTTAATATGTGACGTATTTATTGGGTATAAAAGTTACTCGTCCGATTTAAACTAACCTCTTTCTCGATGTCGTCTGCTCCCGCTACTGAGGCCCCTAAGGGGCGGCGCAGGGCTCGCCCCCTCATAGACTGTTGAATGACTCTAGATTTAGTGAAGGAGAGTGCGGTAACTTCATCTCTTCTGATGTCTTTAGCCCAAATAAAGGAGAAGCACGAAATCCCCGCCGGCTATGAGTTCCATCGCCCTAAGTATACATTGTACTTTAAATTGAAATTAAATCGCCTTATGTCGTAAATAACAAGTGATATTAGAACTTCACCCAAAAAAGTGCTATTAGAAATAAAAAAAAAAAATTGCTAAATTGATAACCTAAGTGTTCATAATCAACGTCATCATGTGACAGATCGCAATTGTAGCTTTATATAAGTCATATTCAACATCTGCTACTTATTTAGAGTCGAACCAAACCGAACTTCTTTCTTCTTTTTTCCCACTAGACTTGAAATGGTAAATTCTTAAGTTCGTTTCACTTTGAAGCTACAAAATTGAACATAGAATAGAACCACTAGGCGAACCGACTATATATGGATGAAAATGTTTATAACTAAAATTCAAAAAGAAACTTCTAGAGTCACTAAGGTTTCGTTTATTTTGTGAAAAATGAATGATTTAGAAATTTTTTTTTCTAAAAATGATCGTTTATACTGCTTGAAATAATAAGTCAATGAAAAATATTTTCATTATCGATAACAATTTATATCTACATATTTTTGTAAATGATGAAAATATTATTCGTTCATTCATTTTTGTAAGCAATATAAACGATTATTCTTAAGAAAATATTTTAAAAATCATTTATTTTCTACAAAATAAATGGAGCATAAATTACATGCTCCATAACTATTCTCAACTAACAAATTTCGGTTCACAAAGCCTACATACGCAAATTACTCAACCGCGCTAAGCTTTTTACATTTTAATTGATAATGACTACTCTAAATATTTTTCAACAACCATATCCATATCTAAAAAATAAAAACCCAAAGAGAGAAGAAAATTTATGTGAATTCGTTGCGAATCCCTCTTCTTGCTGAAAATTTACTCATTTCATGATGACGCAAGGCGTCTATCATCAAAAGGGTACACCGTTAAGGAACGCAGAAGCAAAAGTAAAAAGAAGTCATTAGAATATATTTGATTTGATTGATATGATTTATATTATAGACACCTTCAATTCACCATTTGATTTATGGCGCAAAAAGTGACAACAATATGTACGAAGCAACCATAAATATAACAAACATCATTAAGAGTTTGATAAGAGTGAACACCTCAATGTTTTTCCTAAGGTACGAATAGTCATCTTTGGCTTGACAGTTTGAACAAAAAACAAAATATTTGGTAGACAGAATGACCGAGGCACCGACCTGCGATTTAACTCGTGAAAAAACAAATTTTAAATCTTTATTATAGTACAATCAGGTACTACTAATCCATGCTTTTAAACGGGAAAATTATCTAAAAAGTTTTAAATCTATTGCACTTTTACCAATTCAGTCCTAAACTTTTTAAATTTATCAATTCAGTCTTAAATTTTTTCACTTCTTGCCAATTCAGTCCTAAACCTTAATTGAGTCTATCTGGCCAATTTTGACCGGCTGACGCTGACGTGGCTGCTGGCTGGAGCCGGCTGTTCGGCTAACACTGACATGGCAATTTTTAATTTTTTTTCGAAATTTTTATTTTTTTTATTCTTTTTTTCTGCCCTTCTTCCATCTGGCCGGTCCGGCGATCGGCAAGAGGTGTGAGCCGGCGAGGTCGACCTCGCCGACATCTGGTGAAGCTCGCCCCTACCGGCCATTGGCGAGGGCGAGCCTCGCCTACCGCTGCCAGGCCGACCTCGCCCAGCCAAGGCAGGCCGACCTGCGACGGCGCTGGCTGGCCTCACCTTGGTTGGGTTTCACCTCACCTTGGTTGGGCAAGGCCGACCTCGCCGTCGTTGGGTTTCACCTCGCTCAGCGATGGTGAGGTCGGCCTGGTAGAGGTCGGCGAGGTCGAGCTCGCCGGCCCGCGCCTCTGGTCGATCAACGGTTGCCGGACCGGCCAGAGGGAAGAAGGCAGAAAGAAAAGAACAAAAAGAAAAAAAATATTTAAAAATTCGAAAAAAAATATTTAAAAATGCCACTTCAGCATTGGCCGGATGAACTCATTTGGCAAGAAGTGAAAAGGTTTAGAATTGAATTGACAAACTTAAAAGATTTAGGACTGAATTGGCAAAAGTGTAATAGGTTTAAGACTTTTTGGACAATTTTCCCGCTTTTAAACAATAGCCAATCTTTCCAAATCTCGATGATTGATTTTAAGCTATCGAGACATTTAATCTCAGTCTTTCGATCATGGTGTTGCTAGGGAGCTACGTCATTTATTTATTCTCGATGCGTTTTTCTTAAACTAGGAATTAGAAGCTTTCATGTCCAGGTTCAACACTGTTTGAGTTTGCCAAGTTTAACCTTGGAAATTGAAAGCAGTCTAAAACATATAATGCATGTCAATCCAAACTAGATTTCACTGTTAATACAGTATTTACGATTCTACAATATCAACGGTATCTCTTCTAGCGAGAATCTTCGAGTGTTAAATTCAAAAGCTAGTTACAATGGTATCCTACGTCACACAGTGTCTGAAAACTTTGTACCTTTGATGTCGGGTCTTCTTGGTGGCCTAATAGCCAAAGGTCCCAGTCACCTGAACTGGGCATGTGAAGTGTGGCCCCATGCTTATTTTTTATTATGTTTTCAAATTATTCGAAACTGAAGTCTTGCACTCTCAAAATAGACTGAACTAGATAACCATGAGGGGGCCGAATTGATTGTCATAAGAAGTTTCAGTACCTTTGTGCGTTTAAGTGCAAAACAGCATGTAAATGATGAAACGGTGCTTTGTGGACGAAATATGCAGAGGCATAGCAAATACTTTCTACCGACACTAATGTAAAGAGATTAATGGATAGAAGAGATTGCTAAGCAATTTATACTGTTTGACTTTTCACTCGATTTACTCCACTCTCCTGACTTTATCAGCCCAAAATTAAGGTTGGAATTCACTGGTGCAATCCTTAACACATTTGATAGTGTCTACAAATGAGGTTCTCTCCATGAGCGAATGTAGCTCACTCTATAAGTACACACACTTCACTCTATGCTCAAAGCAGTCTTCATCGTTATACAAACATTCTTTTTGAAAATAACAATCAGAATCACAAGATTTTTCCCAAAGATAACAAGAAGTAAGAACAAGCTTTCAAAGCGTTTTAAATCAACTCAGCCAACTTTCAACTGATACTTTGAAGCATCCATACAACCCTTAACCAGCACGCTGTAGACTTTAGATAAGTCAAAGTAGATGTTGCAAGGATTGTTCTTAGGTCCGAAAATTCAATTCGAGTTAATTATTGAACTTTGCTCAAAATAGACCAAATTGCCCCTGTGAATTTGCCTGATGCTTTCTCTACTTAGTCAAAAATGGCAAACCTCGTATCCAGAACGTTTCTCTATGAATTCCAAGGCCTGAAATTGACTCCAAAGTACCAATTTGAATTTGAAACAAATTGATATAGAGATAAGTCTTTGTTTCCAAGTACGCGTAGTATTGTCCACTTTGTTTGTAGCATGAACTTACTCTACAATGTGGTCTGTCCAAACTAAACAATTTTGCCAAATCCTAATTTATCCACCTAGTCCACTTTCCAACCCGAACACTTCCATTCAGTATTTTGTAAATCCAAAGTTCCTTCCTCAGTATCTTGTTCTCTATTTGCAGAAAAAAGGAAGCTCTCCACAAATACAAACTCTGTTGTCATGTCATCTACACATAAACTTGCTTATGAAGAGAATATCATATTTAAAGAATATTTCGTTTGCAAACTCAACTACACATATAAGTTCATTGAGAATGTTTTGTCATATTCAAAGTTTATAGTAATGTTTTCCAACAAACCTCCCCCTTTGTGATAATGATAAACCTTCTATACCATTTAATATGCAAATGTGTCCACACGATTGGAGAATATTTGGAAATATTTTTATGCACATAATGTAAAAGTTTTTACCTTTGTGCCAAACTGATATAAAAGATCAGAGCGCTTGGTATTTACGACTTGCTCCCTATGTGTGACATGAAATACATCTATGTAGGAAATACAAGTTATACACATAACCTCTCCAAAGTTAAACAAGTTGGCGATAAGATTAATTTGGAGAAATAGAAGCAATAGATGATATATTATCCATAGAGTCAATTTCTTCTATTTAAATATCAGAAAATGGTATATGATATAGGAAAACTTTTGAAAAACGGAGTTGGTTTTATCACACAATCATTTTTCAATAACTTTCGCAAATGAGTATTCAAAAAAATCACATGCATGGGCCCCGGTTCCCATATCAATGGGAAATCAAGCTTTTGCTGGCAATAGACGTGAAAGAATGGTGAATGGTGTTCCAATGTCAAAAATGTTTTTGCTGGCTTGCACTGCCTCCAACCCATCACCTCTCTCAGGCTAACTGTGCATGGCCCGGGTAGAATCGAGAACTAGATTGGAACTGGCTTAATTCCCAGTTCCTAAATTTTGGAACTAGGAGTCATTGGTTAGTTCCTAGCTCTAGGTCAAGAACTGGATCACCCAAGAACTGATCACCCCTACTCTGACGTAGGGGTAAGCGGTTTCAGGTTTCATGGTTCCAAGTTCCTTACAAGTTCCACTTGGAACCTGAAACCTACCCTCGGGTACAGGTTCCTCATTTTTTGAAACCTATAACCTACCCGTCGGAACCTGGAACCTATCCTGTCACAGGTTCCAAGATAGGTTTCAAGATCTAACATGTTCTTTTTTTTTTAATTTCATTTTTAGTTAAACAAAACGAAAATGAACGCAATAATACTGAACAAGCTTGTCATTCACCAAAGAGAATGTTTGAGAAACATCAACAAATAAAATTTGATGATATCCAAACTATCAATTGGTATAAAATCTACATTGTTTAAGTACAAATATATTCAAAGAACTAAATGATACTCATAATATTATTCATTGAAAAAAAGATCACAAGACTGTCCTTGAAAGATCATATAAATAGCACCATCGATCTCAAAGATCAGCTAAATGA